TTTTTTTTTTACTTTGTGTCTTATTGCATGAATAATAGATACAGGCTTTGATCATGATGCCCGTGTAAGTCATTCGAAGTTACTTGTGTTTTAAGTACTATGGTTTTAGATTGTGTGGGCAAATTAATATGGTAGTAAACTTTCAGCGTATGTTTAGCCTATTAGTGGAGTTTTTCCATGGTCTCCGTTCCCTACTGTGTGAAGGTTAGGTCTAAACAACAGTATAAAAGAGGCTTCCATTTAGATTTAATGTGGAGAATTTTTATCATAATACCTTGAATATATGTAATCTTTAAGTCATTATCATTGGAAACCTATGAAATATTGTCAACCTTTTTTTTTTTTTAATTTTTTTTTTTAACGTTTTTATTTATTTTTGAGACAGAGACAGAGCATGAACAGGGGAGGGGCAGAGAGAGAGAGAGGGAGACACAGAATCGGAAGCAGGCTCCAGGCTCTGAGTCATCAGCCCAGAGCCCGACGCGGGGCTCGAACTCACGGACCGTGAGATCGTGACCTGAGCCGAAGTCGGACGCTTAACTGACTGAGCCACCCAGGCGCCCCTGAAATATTGTCAACCTTTGATTCTCTAAATGTGGATTATCCTAATTACCTCATCCCATTTCCAGCAGACTTCCTTTTGGAATTCACCTTTCTCTGGGCTGTTTACCTGCTACCTGACTATATTATAAATCAAACAAAACATATGAGGTCAGTAAATCTAGTCCTTAAGAGAGAAGCCATTTTTTTTCCAAGGCTAATGCCTTGTTTTGTTTATACATCCACTAATCAGGTATTTAAAACATTAAAAAAATTTTTTTTGATTACTTAAGATTCATGTTTAGTCAATACAGAATTGTAAAAAGTAAAAAAGGTAGAAATCCTCTCACCCATATATTACTCCCCACCCTGCCCCAATCCTACTCCCTTTTTACAAGAAAGTCATCAGTTTAGTGTATATCTTATCCAAATCTCTTTCTGTGTCTATGCATAGATTTATATTTATATGAGATATATATGGTTTTGTCTTACTAACGTAACTGAACTACATGCCATGTATTTATTGTTCAGTAACTTTTTTCCTCTACTCCTGCCCATCAACTTAACTGTGCTTTGGGGATTTTGTGTATTTCCAGTTATTTGGAGCATAGTCAAATAATCAAGGAGAAAGCATTTAGAAGCCTCAAAGCTGACAATAAAAATGTCACCCTTATCATCCAAACTCATTTTATTTAGAGGGATATACTTTAGTACTTATTTATTCATATTTTAGACACAGTGCTAACAAGTTTTATATGGCTTCCTGGCCTGTAATAAATTATAAGGGAGAAGGCAAAGCAGATAACAAGGAAAAACAGCTGATGAAACTATAAAAAACAAAATTTCAAAAATCATTTACTTACTTGGAGCATTTACTGTAGAGACAAACTGTTAATCCCTAATTTGCCCCATAGGGACAAATAGTTACCAGTCATTATTTTTCCTTCCTCTCCTCAGTTTGTGATTATTTTCTGTGGAATTCATGTTTGATTACTGGCTTTCTGATGTTCAGACTATCTGTTTCTCTTTATATGTGTATCACTCTAATTTTTAGTTGTGATCTGGTTAAGAAATGTAAAGAGCATACTTTTTAGGTTTTGAATACAAATTTGATTGAGAAGTAAGACATTCTTATTTGGTTCACAATTGTGGACATCTGGAGCATTCCCCTATTTTTTCCCCAGTCTGCTTTTTCAGATGCGTGGCCTGTTTCCACAGATAAATGCTATTACAAGGGCACGACTTTATTTATCAACCAGCTGTTGTGGTATAGTTAGAGCAAGCTTAATAAAGAAAAGCTTATGGGTAGAATATCTTAAGGCTTTGCCTTTCACACATGAGAGGAAATTGTGTGGTAACAGGATGAAGTTAATTTGGGCCCTCCTTTAAATGTCCTGAGGACCGTTTTTGCTTTTATTAGTCAAGAAGTAAAGCAGTACTTTTTCCCCAACAATTACTTACGTAGTTATACAAAATAGTAAGTATTTTAACTGGTTATTTGATAGAGAATTGGGAAATAGCATCATTAAAATATTATTTAATTTGCCATGAGCTTTTTAAATTTTTTTTTTTTCGACGTTTATTTATTTTTGGGACA